CAAATACATCACCACTGATGGCGGCTTCAAGTTCCCAGCCGACATCCCCGCAGACCACGCGCGCTGCGACTTCGCAGCGGCAGCTAGCGACACAGTGCGTCTAAGAGAAAGGGCGGTACGAGCACCTGGAAAAAGAGCGACGCGAATGCACGGGGCGCGCGCAGATGCGACCGCCGCGGCAATTCATCCCCAACCTTATTTCCAATAGCCAAAAGGACAAACGCAGCTGGGCCCGACGTCAGCTACGACAACATGCCGCCTCCACCGGCGCACATACCATCGCCGCCTACACAAACAACTGCAAGCATGCCCGCAAGTAACCGAGCGCAGACCAACCCATGAGCAGGCGTATCCGACCTGATCTACGACGCAACGGACTCCGACGACAGCGCTGACTACAACGACCCATGGGCCACGATGAACGGAACATCAGACGCGGGCGAGTTTTGCCATGCGTCAGTCAAGCCGAACTAATATCACGACGCGCGTTGCCCGAGCGGACGGACAGCGTGCCGCTGCCGCGCCAACGGCGCAGACGCCGACGGCTACGGCGACGACAGATGGCACTGCGCAGTCTGCTACCACGAGCAGTCCAGCACCTACACGTACAGGTTCCCCAACGACGACCCATTCTTACCTGGGTCTGGACGTCGACAGTACTTGCCACATCCACCGCTCTGACCTAACTCACGAGCACTCCATTGTCGACAGTCGCTCTTCCGCCCGCAACTGCTACCAAGAGGCTCAAACTCAAAGACGGAATACGCGCAGACGCACATCTACCCATGGCTAAGCCACCCAGGCAACCGACGTTCACTCGTTATGGCCACGATCTATAGGCATTCACGGCCAACTACCGTAACAACGCAGCACTTCGAATTCAAATGGTAACGACAAGCTAGCACTTCCAAGCGCTTCTGACAGGAGGGCGCGCACCACCCACCGCCAGCAAGATTGCGGCAATTCAAGAAGTCGCGCAATGGCCCAAACACTTGCCGCATCGACGACAACCACATGAAGCTCCACACTGGGCGGCCAATATACGGGGCGCGGCATCACTACCCCAACAAACTTGCAACCGACCATCAGGGTTAGCAGCGGCATAACCACGATGCAGACCAACAGCGACAGCACTGGCGATGGGGCACGCGCAAGCGGAAGATAACCAACGCGACAAACCACCGCCGCCCACAGTGAGCAGACCTTTGTGCTTGATAATCAGGCACCCGCACTACCGCCAAAAACGTGCCCGATACGCATGCATAAGAGACACCTACCGATATACCTGAAGCACCGACTACACCCGTATGCACCAACGCGCAACTTGTCCAGCAAGCGCCACCGCTCCCCTATGCACCTTGCACACCTAACGCACCCACGCCAGTGCCGCAACGAAACGGTAACCCCAACTCTGCGCCCGCGCACCAGCCCAGCAATACCGTTGCGCCGAATAGACCGACGCGTACACTGACACCAACTACACCAACGCCGACTACACCGACTACACCGACAGACCCCGTTTACACCGACCCAGACCCCGACCCCGCCAAGCTACCACCACCTCTACCCAACTACGCGACCACCAAGCAGCCACAACAGTCGAATATCAACCCCAGCGCCAAAGACGCGCCGATACCAGCTGCGCCACAATCGACACAAACAACAGCGATCTCCAAGCGGCCCCCCTCGAGGTCAACTATACCTGCGCGCCCGCCACCGCCAGTTCTCCAGCTGCCAACCTGCCCGCCGCCGCCCGAGGAAATCGCGACGCAGCGTTGAATGCAGGGGGTAAGTGCCTCTCGACGCCGCGTCGCCGCAGACCGACGCCACGCTGCGCGCTTACTGCCCAACCGTCGCAGCACAATCCGTAGCAACGCGCGACGCAGCTGCGAAACGAGGTGACAGGCACATGCTCATTTGCAAACGCCGCGTCACCTTCGTTGGCAACATAGGAGACCCAACGGTCTACAGCTACATCGACAGGCTCCGCTGGCGCCAGACGCGTTGCGAGCACTTCCTCGACGGTCTCAACGACGCCCCCCTCAGTCGGGGCACCGTGCAAGGAGCCGCCGTCCAAGCAGATGGTGCGACTATACAAGGCGACGCCAACTCCCAGACCGGCGGGCCTCGAAAATATTGGCCACGGAGCGAGATAAGCACGCGGCGACAGCAGCGCGCCACGACTCCCACCACGCGCGCCTGCAGCTCTCCAAGTACCGCAGAGCAACATCTACTGGGACCTATTTCTGCCAACATAACTTGTGGTACATTGCTCAGACCAGATAGTGTGGCCGCTGCCCTCCCTCCTTCCCCGTCCAACATTGCAGCGTTGCTGCCTGCGCCCTCCCGCCCTTTCGACGCGCCGGCGGCCCCTTCCTCCCCGATTCCGTCGTTTTGGGGTTCAACCAGATCGCGGCTCAAAGATTGCCAGACCACGATGCCCGCTTTGTTTGTCTGCAGGCCCAGCTTCTCGCAAATTAAGCATGCGCCTGCGTGTCGCCCAGCCTGTGCCTAGGCAGGCTGTGACATTTTCGCGCGCCGCCGGAAGCTCTTACAATCGCTCCTCACGTACGTTTCGACCCCAACAGACCAGCCTGACAGGCCAGCCTGACGCTTGCTGCGAGCTTCAAGCGCTCACAAAGGTATGCGCCTTACTCCTGCTTTCTATTCCCACTGACTGCACTCTGCAAACCTGCATCAACGCGCGCTATGTTTTTTTGGTGCAGTTCGAAAGACACATTTGCATACCCGCGAGTGCAGTCTCACAGGCCAGCCTAGCAGGCCAGCCTACGACCTTCCACGAGACTCGGTCACACACAAATCTAGCGTGCACCTTGCACCTGTTTGCTACAGGCTACACGCCGCAAGCCACTATCTACACAGGCTCGGATTATTCTGCGCAGATCGAAGGAGGCATCTTGCTCCGAGGCTTGTTTACAATGTCTTTTTTTTCTCACGTTGCAGCCAGCCATGCACTGTCATGCTGGACTGGGAATGGAGGGGGCGGTCATGGGGGCTGGGCAGGGGGGGCAACGAGATTTGGGGTTCAGCGGGAAAGCCCTGGACAGCAACCCTAGAGCCGCAACCAGCGAAAGCGCTCGTCTCTTGCACGGGCACCCTGGACCACAAGGGATCGTACAAAACCCGAGAAAAACATGTCAAACACGCGCGAGGGCCTTGGTGCCGAAGTGGTTAAGGGTGAACCCAAACATCCTGGGCCGCAGCCCAAGAACTGCGACGCGCAGCTTTTTTATTGAGTTGGCGCCTGCCTCTTGCGGCAGTCGCTAGAGTCCCCCTTCGATGGGCCTTCTCATCGACGCCTTCTCACACGATCCATGCGGACATGCAGGAAGCAGGACGACCTTGCGCCAGCCTTTCACGTTTGGCTTCGAGACACCACTTTTCAATACACATATATAGATGTATATATGTATATATGTATATATATGTGTATATATATACATATATATATATATATATATATATGTATGTATGTATGTATGTATGTATGTATGTATGTTCATGCATGTAATATATATACATATATATATATATGTATCATATATCTAATAATATATATATATATATTATATATCTATATATTCGTGACAGTACCCAGGCGACGTACCCGACCCCTGCGCAATGCCGGGCAGGAGTAACCTGGGATATTTGACGAGATGGCGGCGACATGACGTGGGCGCGTATAGTTATGCGAACGGCATTCGTAAGGTTCGCAGGTCCCCGATTCAGGGAAAACGATAAGTAACTAAATGAACCCTTGAGCCACTTGGGAAGACGCGAGGTCCAACGTGAGACGGTGGGCAAGGGGCTTGAAACGCCGGCGGGGCAGCAACAACATGACATGCCCCCCCCGGGGACGGCGAGGTCCCGTTCAGGCCGACGCAGTGCCTCACTCGCTGGACCCACCAACGACTTCAAAAGTGGCGAGCCCCCCAGCAGCCCTCGAACGTGGCGACGATTTCGCACCTCGCAGCCCCCCCAGGGGGCGGGGAGGTCTCGCTCCCCCGGGGACGGGGAGGTCTCGCTCCGATCCGCGCGGTGCCTCGCTCCGCTGGACCCGCCAGCGGCCCTCGAGAGTGGCGACAGTTTCGCAGCCCCCGCAGGGGCGGCGAGGTGTCGCTCAGATCCGCGCGGTGCTTATTCCGCTGGACCCACCTGCAGCCCCCCCGAAAGTGGCGACCATTTTCGCAGACCGTAGCCCTCAAGGGACGGGGAGGTCTCGTTCAGATCCGCGCGGCGCCTCGCTTCGCTGGACCCACCAGCGGCCCTCGAAAGTGGCGACGGTT